ATGTTTTGATAAATTAATTCCATGGATGCTCATTTTAACTGGTGGTCATTTTTTTTTTTTTTAAAGATTTTATTTTTTCCTTTTTTTCCCCAAAGCCCCCCAGTACATAGCTGTATATTCTAGTTGTGGATCCTTCTAGTTGTGGCATGTGGGACGCCGCCTCAGCGTGGTTTGATGAGCAGTGCCATGTCCGCGCCCAGGATTCGAACCAACGAAACACTGGCCGCCTGCAGCGGAGCGCATGAACTTAACCACTCGGCCACGGGGCCAGCCCCCAAACTGGTGGTCATTTTTGCAGTGTATTTCTTTGAGTTAACGAGATACTAAAAAAGACAGGAATATTAAGAATTTTTATTTTATTAAAGTGAGGTTTCAAATCAGTTCTTGGGTTCATCCACTTGTGTAAATACATTAATGTCCAGAGCAGGGCAAACTAGCAAGAATTTATAAGTAGTAAAATGACAGGAATGACCGTGACATCCTTGTTGTTCCAGTCTTGCCAAAATTAAGTGTTTTATTTTGTTCTGGAAGACGGAGGAGTAGTGGAATAGGCCCACACCCGGTGCCTGCTTCTCGGGGTCATCCTTGGCTACTGAGACCATAAAATCAAAACTAGATTTAGAAAGAATAACCTTCACACTTTTTTTTAAGCTACCTAGATCAATTAATCAAGTGTTTACTGGGAACAGTGCAGGTTACAAATGAAATACTGTGTATCATTTAGAAATGTCAAATTAAGATTGGTTCATGAAATGAAGTAGAAGACAACTGAAGATTCAAGACTTGGTCCCAAAAAATGTGGCCGGGGGTCTTAATCCATTTGGGCTGCTATAACAAAGTACCATAGACTGGGTTGCTTATAAACAAGAGAAACTTGTCTCTCACAGATCTGGAGTCTGGAAAGTCTGAGATCTGGGCGCCGGGAGATTTGGTGTCTTGTCAGAGCCCGCTTCCTGGTTCATAGGCAGACATCTTCTTACCGTGTTCGCATGTGGCTGGAGAGGCAAGGGGGCTCTCAGGCCTCTTTTATAAGGGCACTAATCACTTCCCAGAGGCCTCAGCTCCAAATACTATCACACTGGGCCTGAGGTTTCAACATATGAATTTTGGAGGGACACAAACATTCAGTCTAGCACCAGGCAAATCATAAAAACAAGTATTCAATGTATACGGATATAAAAAGATGGAAGATATCACTGTGGTTACCAGTATTGTTCTCATCTCCTGGGCATTTGGGAGAATTACACGTCCCCATCCTCTTGAAGTGAGGCATGGCTTAGTGACTTGCTTCAGCCAATGAAATGTTAGGGGCAAGTAAGGTGTGTCGTTTCTGAGCAAAAACATTTAAGAGCCAGTGCACGATTCTTGATGCCTGTCCTCCTGCTGTAGGGGACCCTGAGACCTGGGATTGTGACAGCAGTGTCATAGACGGCGGGTCTCTTCAGTGACTAGGATAAGCAGGCTCCGTGCTGACTCATTGTGGACTTTAGCATGACTGAGAAATAAACTTCTGTTTTTTAAGCCATTGAGAATTTGGAGATTATTTTATTCCCAGGATAACTTAATCCAGTGATTCCCAAATTTTCTTGCACACTAAAATCGCCTGGGGAGCTTTTAAAACTCTCAGTGCCCGTGTCTCCCTTCGTACCAGTTAAATAACAATGTCTGCTGGTGGAAATCAGGCATCAGTATTCTTTAAAGATTCCCCAGTGGTTCCAGTGTGTTAGCAAAGTTTGGAAACCACAGACCCAGCCTATGCCATTCCGTCTCCTACAGTATTAATACAGTCCTGGAAATCTGGGTGAAAGTCAAGTGAGTTTTTTTCTGTTGTAGGGTGTGTTCATCCCTATAGAATTTCAAATATAAATATTTGACATCTTGCCTTAAGAACATACGATTTGCAATATTTCATATGATTTTAATGTTCTGTTTTATTTACATTTGAGCACATCAACAATCCAGTGGAGACCTAGTGCTAAATATTTCCCACTTTGGGCACACCTAATGAATTCCATCTTTTCTCAGTTTTAAGTTTATAAGACTAAAGATTCTTATTCTAAGCATCAGCACTTTTTTTTCTCATTCTTCAATCATTTGAGTAAAATGTAATGAGATCTTAGATACAAATAATAGATAATTACATACACACTGGTGAGTAGACTGAGAAGGCAACAAATATTGATTGTTAGGGAGCAGCCCCACGTGACTGTTCAAAATGTTCATTCATCCATCAGGGCACTTCAAAGGAAATTGGCATAAGAAAGGTAAATTGGGCTGTTTTGAACTGAATGTATGTGTCCCCCCAAGTTCGTGTGGAAGCTCCTAACCCCCAATGTGATGGCATTGGGAGATGGGGCCTTTGGGAAGTCACTAGGGTTAGATGAGGTCATGAGGGTGAGGACTCGGCCAGAAGGCGGCCGTCTGCAAGCTAGGAGGAGAGCTCTCACCAGAACCTCACCATGCTGGCACCCTAATTTTGGACTTCCAGCCTTCAGAACTGTGAGAAAATGAATCTCTGTTGTTTAAGCCCCCCAGCCTATGACATTTTGTTATGGTAGCCCAAGTAGACTCATACAGGGCAGGTGTATAATTTTCAGGTTGTTTAAAAGTCAAAGACAATCACGGAAGACTTCATGCAAAAAAACACTTGAGATTTAATATATATCTGTTAGGAGTGCGCTATGGACAGAAAAAGTTTGCTCAATTTAAGGTTATCACGTTTACCATTATGTTTATGATGGTTCACACCTAAAGAGAGGATGGGCCAAATTGAGACAGAAGCCAACGTTTGGACTTCCTCCCACGTAAGCAGTAACGGGAACGTTCACAGCCCCGGTCCTTTCCCTGTCGTTTGTGTGTCACCATAACGTTTTTATTCTCCTGGCCTCACACACATGTTTGGGTAGAGTAACTCAGCTTTCACTGTAAACTCTGTGAAAGTAGGAACAGCAACCCTGTCAGCTTCACAGCCTTTCTCACCTTTAGCTGAGCAGCTGGGCCAGTGACAAGTCCACTGGCCTTGGATGTGAAAAGGGAGCCTAAGAGAGGTGAGTCAGAAGACCCGGAACAGGAAGACAACCGAATAAGAGTGCAGGAGGTGGAGAAAAGACAGGGAGACCAAAGTCAGAGGGAGGCAACACAGCTCAGAGGGCCGCGGTGTCAGACCTCGGCACGTCCTCTTGACCCAGGAGCTCACCTCTGGAACTTCATCCTAAGGAAGTGAGTAGGGATGGGGGTAAAACCGTACACAAAAAATGCTAATCCTCATGATGTTCATAATCGTGGAAATTTTAATAATAGAATGGAATACCATGTAGCCTGGAAAAAAACCCGATGCTGTAAACCAGGGCTCAACAGACTAGAGCCCTTGGGCTAAATCCTGCACAGCACAGAGTAGGTTTTACACTTTTAAATGGTTGAAAAATCAAAAGATTATTTGGTGACATGAAAATTATATGAAATTCAGATTTCTGTGTCCTTAAAGTTTTATTGGAATACAGCCAAAGCTGCTTTCGTGCTACAATTTCAGAATTAAGTAGTTGCAACAAACCACGGGGATCACAGAGTCTAAAACGTTTATTCTCTGGCCCCTCACAGAAAAAGCTTCCTAACTGCCACTCTAGAAGAACAGAAAATAACATGGATATCCTCATAATAGTTATTTTGCTTCTTGAATTCTCCACTTTATAAATTCCTAGAAGTGGAATTGCTGGGCCACACCATATTAAAACACTTCAATGCTCCTTTTGTTGTTTTTTCCCTCACCAACCTCACCTGTTTTGCGGGTATTTTTTTTGCTCAGTCTCTTTTCGTTTTTGGTAGGGCTCTCACTCTGAGACCGTTTGTATTTAGTGGAAGTATGGTCAAGTTACTGAAGTAAACCTGGTGAATGACTCTGCAGATCGGCATCCTAACACCTAAACTTTTTTTTTTTTCAAGGAATAAGGCAATAGGCCAGATTGATCTTGATGTAGATCGAACTATTTAAACATTTATTGCTCAAAAAATTAATGAAAGGAGTTCATAGGCCACCAACCTGCTTTAGACCAACTGTTATACCACTTTTTTAAACTAAATTGAATACTGCCTGAGTTTACACCCCTGCCAAGTAAAAATTAATATGCATAAGTTCCAAAAGAAATTTTGTATCAGAAAGTCTGTGAAACATGTGAAAAAAGTAAGGTGTTGAGTTTTCCAAAAGTAAATTGTAGGGTGAGCACTCTATTCTTGGCTCTTCAGCTGTCTGCCTAAGACTCAATCCTTCAACAGCCACAGTCCTGCTGACACTGTAGCCATCCATCATGTCAGGGGTTAGTGACAATAAGGTCACGACTCCACAGGGACAGCTCAGCTCTGTGGAGTCCACAAGGTCAGGGTCAGGCACGCCCTGCGGCTGTGCGGACCTGTTCACACAGGGCTTCTCCTGACGGCCCGCTGCCTACCCTTGGAATTAGCTGCTCCGTGTGCCGCTTCTAGCCCCGCCCTCCCTCTCTGCTCCACCGGCTTCCTGGAGCCTCCCTCGGCTTCACCAACTCCTGTCTTCGCTTCTCCTTTTCCTGGTATGCTGTGGGAATGATAGTAAGACAGTACGGTTCCTTGTACTTTCTGTTTTCTAGAGTTTTTACAGTTTCTAGACCACTGTCTTCTTTGCAACGTTGTCATGGATGTATTGCTTTACCGCTCTTCTGTCATTTCTCTGAGATCCGGAGAAAAGAGAGAGGCAAATGCATGTGCTTATTTTGCTATCTTAAATTAGAAGTCAGAAAAGCACACTTCTTCCTGCTTTTTTTTTTTTTTCCTCCCCAAAGCTCCCGGGTACATAGTTGTATATTTTAGTGGTGGGTCCTTCTAGTTGTGGCACGTGGGATACCGCCTCAGCATGGCTTGACGAGTGGTGCCATGTCCGTGCCTGGGATCCAAACCCTGGGCTGCCACAAGCGGGGAGTGCAAACTGAACCACTCCGCCACGGGGCCGGCCCCAGAAAAGCACACTTCTAAAGGCTCTTTATATTTTATGATATATATATAATATCTTTATATTTTAAGTGAATTTGAAAATGAAAATCATTTTATTCGTCTCACCCAGAACACACGTCCTGATATGGCCACTAGAGGGTTCCAAAGATCAGAGTACGGGGAAATTAATAAGAAATTAGACACTTTAGAACATATCTGGAAAATATGTTCACTCACTTAAAAGTTGTCAGTTTAATAGCCTGGGTTGCTGCTCACTCTTCTTTCACTGCCCGACTCCTTGAAGCCATCATCTTTAGCCCCTTGCCATCAGACTCCTTCCTGCTCTTCCCGCAGTTCTGTCAGTAAGCTCCTGTGGCTGCAAAGGAGTCTGTCCCAAGAGTTTGTTTGTAGGTCAACTGTTTGCAGAGTGGAAGGCGTTTTCCCATAGAGGTAATAATATAAGTGGTTACTGGTGCTGAGGTGAGCTCAGGAAAACCTTAAATGGAAGAACCGGGTATAGAGTCATTAACAAAAAAGTTTAAAAATTAATTTTTAAAAATTAATGCCAGAATAAGAAAATAAAATGAGAATTCTTTTTGAAAGTTTGAATGCTAACTTTTTTTAAAAAAGATTTAAATGAAGGAAAAAGTAGAAGAAAATCATTTTTAGGAGATTCCTATGGATGCTTTTGGTCATTTTTGTGTGCTTTAGATGCAGGTTCTTTACTGCATACATATAAACTTATTTTCTCTTTTCCTTGATAATAAGTTTTCACTATTCTTAAACTTAACCATGATTGAGGTCATTCAGTGTTTACAAATGAAATGAACAGAGGGAAAGAAAGAAGAGAGATTTTCCTAAGATCTCTAAGCAAAAAACTGAAGCAAGAGGAAAAGAGAAAAAGGCACTAAAGAGAAAAAGGTGTACCTGAGATGGACAAAGAAAGAGAAATCAAGGGAGAAGCGAAGGAAAGAGACATTGGAGTTGGGTCAGAGTGGTCACACCCAGGAGGCCATCTCAGTTTCTTGTCCGAGCTGGGGGGATGGGGGGTGGTGAGCACTCTTGGAAGAGGAAATAGGTACTCTGGAACCCAGGACGGTTGCAAACCAGGCACCATGTGACTTGGGAATACCTCCACGCCTTTCTTAGGGCTTAAGTTCCTTTTTAAAGAAAACTCAGCTGTATTTTTAAAGTTTTAAAAGACCTGGCGAAGCAGAGCTTCTTGTATTCACACAACTGGGCAAAACTCCTTCTAGGCTCAGTGTTGTTTATTTGTCAGTGTTCAGCTGAAGGTGAACAGGTCAAATCCTGGAATTGTGACATCACTGGAGAGAAGCTGTTGCTACGCCCAGCCTGTTTTGTTTTTGCGTCCTCTCCCCCTCTTCTTCCCAGCAGCGACAACTGGCACTCACTTAAGGAACCTGAAGTCTCTGGCTTGTGCCTCCTCCCCCAAACCCCCAATCGTATAACGGAGACAGTCCATTCACACTTACTGATTGAAATGATACATGTGGACCACAAAACTCAAGCAGACATTGGCATTTTAAACATTGGCAATGACAGACTTTCTCAAGGAATTTAGTTTAGAGTTTGGTGGTGTTGACGATGGTAGAGAAGTCATCAGCCTTGGAAATAAAGCAGTGGAGCCCAGTGCAAAATAAAAAGATGGAGTTTCTTGTTCAAAAATTAAGAATTTCAAGACTGTGACAGCAAAGCATTAAACCCAGTGCAGAACCCTTCTAAGCGCTGGGCCCTGTGCAATTGCACAGTTGCACATCCATGAGGACAACCCTGCCTAGAAGTGACTGGAATTCCAGCTCCCTCTGATCTAGAAGAGGACTCTTTACTTTGTTTCCGGACCTCCCCCTGCTCCCTGGAGGAGGAAGAAGCAGCGGCTGAGCCTAGCAAGACTGATGCGGTATGCGGCTTGGGAGCCGCTGAGGAAGGGGGATGTTTCTAGAGGAGTTTTAGGTTCATTTTTAGCAAATTTTTAGCAAAATTGAGGGGAAGGTATAGAGAATTCCCATATACCCCCTGCCCCCACACATGCACAGCCTCCCCCGTTATTGACGTCCCCACCAGAGTGGTATGTTTGTTACTATTGACAAACCTACCTTGACACATCATTATTCCCCAAAGTCCATAGTTCACTCCAGGGCTCACTCCTTATGTTGTGCATTCTATGGGTTTGGACAAATGTATAATGACATGTATCCTCCATTATAGATCATGCAGAGTTTGAAATATGATATAGCATCTTACAGAGTATTTTCATGGGGGTCTCTCTCAAAATCCGGGCGCGTTTGGCCTATCACAACCCTAATATGCTAGAGCCTTCATTTTGCACAGCTTGTGTGTCTGGATAAGATGGAGGATGTCTCTCTTCCCTTTGCATCATACTCTTTTGTCGGAGGAGGGTTGTTGAAAGCTGTGCTTCTGGGGTTCCAATGTTGTGCCACATTTTTGGACTTTTAGACTTGTCACTTTTTTGAGTGTGTTTGGGCTGGATGGGGATGCAATCTGAGTGCCAGTCACTATGCTGGGGTTGGAATCATCTTTCCCCGAGAGGCCTATGCTCTGTTGCTGCCTGGGCTCTTACTGCTTGTCCCCTTCTCTTAAAATGCATTAATTCCCGGAGGGATTCATTCCATGTCCCCCCACACCTACCCAGACGCACGTCTGTCTACCTGCCAGCCACACCCCACACGTCTGAGCCCCAGCAGTGGAAACCTCCTAGGCTTGATGAGATTCTTCACTTGCCTACTTTTGCACATCTTGTTGGTCCCACTTGAAATATTTTCTTGCCTTACAGTGATCGTCTTCAAGAAGCCTTTCCTCTGGGGCCGGCCCAGTGCATAGTGGTTAAGTTTGCTCTGCTTCAGCAGCCCAGGGGTTGCAGGTTCAACCCCTGTAGGTTGCAGGTTCTGGACACAGACCAAGCACCACTCATCCAGCCGTGCTGTGGCGGTGGTGTCCCACATAAAATAGAGGAAGGGTTGGCACAGATCTTAACTCAGTGACAATTTTCCTCATGAAAACAAAAAACAAACCAAAACAGCAACAACAATAAAAGAAGCCTTTCTTGAAGGACCCACCAGGCCTAATTATCCCTTGTGCCGCGGCCGCACACTGTGCCAGGTGGTTTACGACGACGGTTCTGTGGTGACTGGCTCCCGGTGATGCTCGACTCCCGACCTGTAGACTCTCCTAACTGCAGTCTGAACGCACACAGTTACGACATCAGTTTTCCTAAGACAGTGCTTTGATAACGCCACCAATCTTCAATGGCTCCCATTTTCTGTAGGAAAAAAATTCAACCAGCTTAGCCTGGCTTTCAAGGCCTTCCACAATCTGCCCCACTGCATCCCCAGCCTGGTTTCCCATTCTCACCCTGGAGGAACCAGCGCTCCCGCACAGCACTCATGCAGTGACCGCCTTCCTGGCCCTTCCTTATGTTTCCTCATTGTTTAAAATGTTAACCATCCATGAGATGCATCCATTCAAATATTATTTACTCTGTGTCAGTAATGAATAAATAAATAAAATAACGTAGGTAAAGCCCTTGGCAGCAGCTTATACACAGCAGGCACTCCATAAGTAGCAGCTGGTATTATTTGTCCTCATTGCCTTCTCATTGTTATTGCAAGAACTCCATGGTCACCTGGCTACGAGGAGGAATGACAGTCCCAGCCCTTGCCAAGCTCAGCTAAGAGCAGAAGAGACTGAGGTAGTATAACCAATGACGATGACAAATGACGGCTAAGTGGGGGGTCGGTGCTGAGTCCTCAGGGGCGCAGCACGGGGAGGGCTGAGGGTGGACGTCACTGAGGAAACAGTGAATTGGCCTTGAAGAGTGAGCGGAAAGGTTTTTCTTCTTCTTTGTAGAAGTTCTGCACATTTCATTTTAGATTTAGTCTAGGAAATATTGTTGAGAGATACCTGTCCTAACATTGCATTTTCTAATTGTCGATAAAGGATAATACCTCAGAGATATTGCAGCTTTGGTTCCAGACCACTGCAATAAAGCAAATAATCTCAATAAAGTGAGTCATACGAATTTTTTGGTTTCCTGGTGCATATAAAACTGATGTTTACACTATGCACAGGCTATTAAGTGTGCAATAGCATTATGTCTAAAAAAACATTTACATGCCCTAATTAAAAAATACTTATTGTAAAAAATGCTAACCATCCTCTGAGCCTCCAGTGGGTCCTAATCCTTCTGCCGGTGGAGGGGCTTGCCTGGATGTTCTGGCTGCTGACAGATCAGGGTGGTGCTTGCTGAAGGTGGGGGTGACTGTGGCAGCTTCTTAAAATAAGACAACAATGAAGTTTGCCACACTGATCAACTCCTCCTTTCATGAGCATTTTCTCGGTGGCGTGCGATGCTGTTTGATAGCATGTTACCCCCAGTAGAACTTTCAAAACTGGAGTCAATCCTCTCAAACCCTGCTGCTGCTTTGTCAACTAGGTTTATGTAACATTCTAAATCCTTTGTTGTCATTTCAACAGTTTTCACCAGGAGTAGACTCCATCTCAAGAAACCAATTTCTTTGCTCATCCCTAAGAAGCAGCTTGTCATCCGTTCAAGTTTCATCATGAGATTACAACAACTCGCTCACGTCTTCAGGCTCCACTTCTACTTCTAGTTGTCTTGCTGTTTCCACCACATCTGCAGATACTCCCTCCACTGAAGTCTTGAACCCCTCAAAGCACCCAGGAGGGCTGGAATCAACTTCTTCTGAACTCCTGTTAATGTTGATATTTTGACCTCTTCCCAGGAATCATGAATGTTCTTACTGGCATCTAGAATGGTGAATCCTTTCCAGGCAGTTTTCAGCTTACTTTGCCCAAATCCATCAGAGGAATCACTATCCATGGCAGCCACAGCTTTACAAAATGTATTTCTTAAATATGTAATAAGACTTGAAAGTCAAAATCACTCCTTGGGCTGCAGAATGGATGCTGTGTCAGCAAGCACAAAAACAACCTTAATCTGATTGTGCACCTCCATCAGAGATCTTGGGTGACCAGGCGCATTGTCAATGAGCAGTAGCATTTTGAAAGAAATCTTTTTTTCTGAGGAGTAGGTCTCAACAGTGTGCTTAAAATATTCAGTAAGTCATGTTGTAAACAGATGTGCTGTCATCCAGGTTTTGTTGTTGCATTCGTGGAGCACAGGCAGAACAGATTTAGCCTAATTCTTCAGGGCCCCAGGATTTTCAGAATGGTAAATGAGCATTGGCTTCAACTTAAAGTCACCAGCTGCATTAGCCCCTAACAAGAGAGTCGGGGGCCAGCCCTGTGGCCAAGTGGTTAAGTTTGTGCACACTGCTTCGCCAGCTGAGGCTTCGCCAGTTTGGATTCTGGGTGCGGATCTATGCACTGCTCATCAGGCCATGCCGTGGCGGCATCCCACATAGAAGAATTAGAAAGACCTGCAACTAGGATATATAACTGTATTGGGGCTTTGGGGAGGAAGAAAAAAAAAAGAGGAGGATTGGCAACAGATGTTAGCTCAGGGCCAATCTTCCTCACAAAAAAAAAAGAGAGAGAGTCAGTCTGTCCTTTGAGGCTTTGGAGCCAGGCATTGACTTCTGTCTAGCTATGAAAGTCCTAGATGCCATCTTCCAATATAATGCTGTTTTGTCTACATTGAAAATCTGTTGTTTAGTGTAGCCGCCTTCATGAATGATCTTAGCTAGATCTTCTGGACAACTTGCTGCAGCTACGACATCAGCACTTGCTGTGTCACCCTGCACTTTCATGTTATGGAGAGGCTTCTTTCCTTAAACCTCATGAACCAACCTGTGCTGGCTTTGAACTTTTCTTCTGCAGCTTCCTGCCCTCTCTCAGCCTTCATAGAATTGAGGAGAGTTAGAGCCTTGCTCTGGATTAGACTTTGGCTTAAGGGAATATTGTGGCTGATTTGATCTTCTATCCAGACCACTAAAACTTTCTCCATATCAAGTAATAAGGTTTGCTTTCTTATCATTTGTGCGTTCACTGGAGTAGCACCTTTAATTTCCTTCAAGAACTTTTCCTTTGTGTTCAGAACTTGGCAAACTGTTTGGCACAAGAGGCCGAGCTTTCAGTCTATCTCAGCTTTCAGCATGCCTTCCTCACGAAGCTTAATCATTTCTAGCTTTTGATTGAAAGTGAGAGATGTGCAACTCTTTTCTTTACTTGAACTCTTAGACACTATTACAGGGTTACTAGCTGGCCCAATTTCAATATTGTTGTGTCTTAGGGCATAGGGAGGTCTGAGGAATGGCTGGTTGGTGGAGCAGTCAGAACATACACAATATTTATCATTTGAGTTCATCATCCTATGTGGGCACAGTTTGTGGCACCTCAAAACAATTACAATAGTAACATCAAAGATCGCTGATCACAGATCACCATAACAAATAGAATAATGAAAAAAAGTTTAAAATATTGTAAGAATTACAAAATGTGACACAAAAACACAATGTGAGCAAATGAAGTTGGAAAAATTGCACCAATAAGACTTGCTTGACACAGGGCTGCCACAAACTTTTAATTTATAAAAAATGCAATATCCGTGAAGCACAATAAAACAAGGTATGCCTGTACTGGTTTTGTAAATTTAGCTTGTATCCAGCAACCTTGCTGTACTCAAAGTTTGTCAGTAGATTCTTTTTGGTTTTCTTTGTACATAATCATATTGCTTGCAAACAATGGCAGTTTTGTTTCTTTCTTTACAGTCCTTACATGTTTTAATTCTTTTTCTTGTCTTACTAAATTTGCTAGATACAGTGCATAATTGTACAATTCAGCACAATGCTGAATAGGAGCAGTGAGCGTGGGTATATGTGACCAGTATCTGACTAAAGTAGGAATTTCCTGAGGTTCTAATGTTTCAAATTAAGTACAATGTTTGCACTTTTTGTACTTTTTATCAGGTTAAAGAAATTTCCTTCTAGGTTTCCTGAGAAACTTTATAACTAATGAGTTGAATTTTATCAAATTCTAGTGAAATAATCACATGATATTTCTCCTTTAATTCATTATTGCAAAGAATTTGCAATACATTTTTTTAATTAAAAAAATTCTTGTACCCTGAAATTATCTCCACTTTCTCATGATGTATTTTTTTAACAAATTAACTTAAATCTATTTCCTTTCTCCCATTCCAGAAGTTCCCTTCCCATTGACACCAATATAATCACTCATTTGCTTTATCAAACATTTATATGCAGCAGTCTTAGAATAATAATACAAACAAAATAGTATCATTATCAATGTGATTACTGAAAACGGTTTAAGATTTTGAAGTTCCTTTTGTCCTAAGATTTGTTTTAGTCACTTAAAGTTTAAGTGAGCTGAAATTAACAGTTGTGAAATGTTTTCCGACTTTCACTGCATCCCTAAATTAGGAAAAAAAATTTTCATCATGTGCTATATTCGAGCTATTGGATATGAGGAATTCTGGGCAAACATTTATTGAGAACTTCCCATTCACTGTTTCTCGAACTCATATCTGATGTATTTCATAACTGCAATACCTGGGCTAAATGATCCAGAATGACTGATATTTATTCATAATGAGACTTTATTTAAAAAGTATGACCAAATTTTCCATTGCCACCCCCAACCTTTCCCAAGTCATCCAATCAAAGCCCAGACACTACAGTATTCTTTCTAACACCCTCTTATTAAGACTTCCCTTGGTTTCCGGTGGTGTGTATTTCTCTTTGCTGCAATGAACAATAAAGGTTTTTGGCTTCCTCGTGTACTCTTGGCTGTTAAGGCTTTGACGCCACCTATCATATCATAAGACATATCAACCAATGGCAATGGATTAATTTCATTTTGGCCCTGACTGGAACAAATGAACAATAGAAAAATGAATATTTATTAAGATAGGAGAAATTTGAACACTGGATAATTGCTATTAAGCAGTAACTTTTTTTTAAAGGTAGGATAACGGTATTGTGGTCAGTTTTTTTCTTTTTTTTTACAAAGAATACTAATTATACTTTTAGAGATACGTGCTTAAATATCTATACATGCAATGATACGGTGTCTGAGACTTGCTTCCCTGAGACAAGTGGCTAGAGCTATAGACAATGAAGATCGTCAAAATGCCAGTAACTGTTAAAGATCGTTAATGAGCAAGGAAATTATTCACTTCCTGTATATAATTGAAACCTTCCAAAGGTCTTTTAAATTACATATATATATATATATATACATATATATATATATATATATATGTATATATTCTTTTAGGAGAGAGCAATACTGTAAGATCAAAAAGGCCACAGCAAGGGACCCAAAAAAAGTCACGGGGGCTTTCCCTCTAGCCCCCACGTCTGAATCAAGGCTGCTCAACAGGTGCTCCTAAGGGTCTCAGGCAGATAAATGTCCGAATTAATGAACTGGTAGGTAGAGCCCGGACGTGCCGGGACCGATGCTAACAGGCTCCTCTGACCGCCCCCTCGAGCCCCCCGCGGCCTGTCTCCCTCGCTCCATCCCCGAGCCCCAGCACACCGCTAAGATGGTGGCGGGACGGCGGACAGGTGCCCCCGCCCCGGGAGCGCGCTCCGGCGGCTGCGCAGGCGCACTCGGCCCCTCCCGCCCCGGCGGCTCGCGCCTGCGCGGTGGGGCGCCCTCGCGGCGCGGCTCGGCCTGCGGCGGCTGCAGTCTCCGTCCGCGGGCGGCCGAGGAGGCTCCGGCGCCATGAGGCTCCTGCTGCTGCTCGCGGTGGCGGCGTCGGCCGTGCTCCGCAGCGATGCGTCGGGCAGCCTGGGCGGCGTGCCCGGCAAGAGACTGAAGATGCAGTACGCCACGGGGCCGCTGCTCAAGTTCCAGATCTGGTGAGTCTGCGCCGCCGCCGCCGCCCCGCAGCGCCTCTGCCCGGCGCCTCTCGCTACGCGAGGCCCCGGCTTCGCGGCCTGGCGCGCTGAGCTGCCCGGGCCCGGACGAGCGGCGCCGCCGGCCGACTCCGCGCCTCCCCGGGCGGCCGGGCCGCGGGGCTCCGAGGAGCGCGGCCCGGGAAGGGGCGCGGAGGGCCAAACACGGAGGGGCGGCCCGGCGGGGGGCGGAGGGCCGAGGCGGGGAGAGGCCGCGCCCGCCCCGTCTGCGGCTCCCGAAGCGCCTCGGGGTGGAGCGGGTTGCCTGCGGACAACGTTCGCTCCCGGACCGCGGGATCGTCTTCGTGCCCTGCTCCGGCTCCCCGGGAGCTGCCCGCCCCGCACCTCCTCCTCCTTTCCGCTCGCCTACTTGTGCGTTCAGACAAATAGGCAAAAAAAAAAAAAAAAAAAACCCGAAACACACACCCGGCCGTTTTGGATCTTGTGCTGTGAGTGAGTTTGTCCTTGTAAGCAGAGCGGTGATGCGTGTAACGAGGTGACTGGGGTTGGGGAGGGTGTGAAAGGCTCAGATTAGAAGAAGAAACCAGAATTGTGAAACTGCGAAGCCAGAATCCTGTACCGCGCACGATGCCGTTTTTTCAGCATAGGATGGTCAGATCTGTAAATCTTCAGAGTCCCGACACTTTACAATGTTGGAGTATTGGTGTTGGCCATCATGCATTTAAATTAGCTTTTTCAAACGTCATTTATTAACGTGTGTACTAAAGTTTAGATCTTTCCACGTATCCAACTAGCTTTTTTGCTTAGTCTTTAAAGATTAGAAGGTGACAGATATTTTACCAACCTATGCATGTTGTTAAGGTTTAAATGTGATACTTTTGGACTTAAGTAGTTAAAGAAAGACTGCAGTTTCCGAGTTAGCTAATGTTTCTATTTCCTAGATGTTCCTATTTCCTAATGTTTCTATTTTCCTAATGTTGGTTTCACTTGCGCTTTTCACACAGTGGCTCTTATCGGAATACTTGTCACAATAATTTAATAACTGTATCGTCCACCGAGGATATTCATAACAAAGTTTTCAAAATGTGTAAACAGATGTAACGAAGGGCATTCAGCTCTTCAAATTAAACTTTTAAAGAAGTGTTAAGTACTTCAGCTGAACTTTTTGATACTTTTTGGGTTTTTTTCTTTATGTACAAACTTATCCGAAAAGTCTAATAAAAGTTTTCTTTTGCATTCAAGGTGAATATTGAGTTTCTGGTTTTAGTAGAATCTCTTGAACATTCATTTGCAAGTGTGTTTGGGAAAGGAGAGGAAGCTAAGACAATTGAGGATAAATATGTGAAAATTCTTTTAATTCCATTTGAAATCTGAGTGCTATAAAATGCAGTTTTTCATTAATTACCACTATTAACAAAGGAGAGCTATTTTTACCTTCCCTCGCTTTTGTCTCTTATTATTTTGTATTTATTATGAGTACTGGTTCTTTAACTTTAGCTCAATATCACATCTGTTAATTGTACACCTTTTGTAATTGCTAATAGAAGAAAAGAGCGACATAACACAGGAATGGCATTGAAGGGAGAGAGATCAGGCATGCAAATAGCTTAAAACAAGCTTTGCTGGCCTGTGCTCATGTATTTTTTCAACAAATGTTCATTCACCACCTGCTTGTGCCAGGAGCTGGCAGACGCACGGGCCCGCGGGAAGCCTGCGGACCTGGCGCAGTCCCGCCCTACGCACCCAGTGTCTGCTTTGTCATGCCAGTTGATTCAGCAGCAGAATTAGATAAGTTTGATGACATTCAGTTCATATTTGGGGGAAAAATTTATCCTGCTTATTTGGACGTTTAAATACTGAACATAAGAAAGCAAGTTCTCTAATCAGAGCCTAAAATGAAGTGTCCTTGTTGCATTTTCCTTTCTCGTGATTTGTGTGTGTGAATATGTTCTGGCAGGTACTGTTCGGCGTGATCGTGTGTCTCCATGCTTTGTTTTGCCCTTATTTGTGGTCAGACCTACAGCATTTAATCAGTTGTTGCAGTTTAAAGAGATTACTGGTTACAACTCTCTAGTTAATTCTTGTTTGAACGTTTGACAAATGATTTACTAAGAATAGTACATTAAAGTTATGATTTCAAAACACAAGAATATAGCAAAATTTCCCAATTTTTGTTAATTTGAGAATCCACTGCTGTAATTTTAGGACAGCCAACTTGTAAAAGGAGTTTTAAGAGGTAAATGAAGCAACTACGACAAGAACAGCTTTCTTTAGATTTATACCAACTCGGCCTTCTTGGTATGGAGGCAAGAAAATAAAGACCTAAGACTGGTTTGGATGTTGATGCTGGTCAAGATTAGTAAAATGCTGAATTGAAGAAATCTGAGAAATTGTGAGTTAAAGAGATCCCGTTGCTTACTGTAGACTTAATATTTGCGTGTTCCACAAATATTGAGCACCTACTCCGTGCAAGCTCTTTGCTTGGTGCTGAGAATTCAATTCACTGCTCTCACAGTTACAGGCAAGAGCAGAAGGCAGTCGTTAATCCGTGGACAGCACACACAAAATTACCGTCAAGTGCTGCGAGGCAGCGTTGTATGAGAGAGACCTCATCTGGGGATCGGGGAAGCTTTTCATGAGGAAATGAACTCTGAACTGAAATTTTAAGGATAAGCTTGATTTAGAGAGAGCTTTCAAGCAATGGGACTAGCATGTTCAATGGCCTCGTAATAGGAGAGAACATAATTTCTTAAGGAGGCCACGCTACTGACCTCAAAGACCAGAGAGGTGGCACGATGCTGGAGGGTCTAGCCAGCCATGTTGAGTAAAGACTAGCTGGTATAATTGTGGAAAAGACCTTCAGGGGACGAAGAGTAGATGTGCAGAAACCGTGTAGGGGAGCTTTGGGGTTGCCCAGGCAAGAGACGGCAGAGCTTGGATCGAAAGGGGAGGTAGGAGTACAGAGTAAAGGGACAGGGTTAAGAGCTCTTTAGGAGATAAATTTAGCAGTTCTTGCTGAGGGATTATTACATATTTTGGGGGAAGGAGAGGCAGCATGGAGTGAGAGGTGTGAGAGATGACTCCTGAGTTCTGGAACGATGCTGTGCTAGTCACTGGAATGATGAACAATTAAAGGAGGCACATTTTATGGGGGTTTTTTTGGTGGGAGGGAAGGGTAAGATTCTGAATTTTTAAAACTGAAAGCATAGTAGCCAGGAGAAAATCCTACAAAGAAATTTTCCTTTCCTGAAAATAGCCACAGTAGCTGAAACTAAAAGTGTTGACTTTATTTCATGAAACCTTAGTTCCGATGGATTGTAAGATACACCATTGTTTTATATACCACTCAGAAGGAAAAAAATACTGCCGTTTAAATTGTGACACTAATGATTGTTAGATGAATCCTGATTATTTTTAAGTGCTAAATAGGAGAAGTGGACTTCTTGGAATCAGTGAAATACAGGAGTGATAAGAAGTTGGTGCAGACAGTGGGGTGGCAGAGTGTTACTAGGTAACAGAGTGGCGGCTACACTGCCACTGTTAGATTTTAAAAGTTCTGTTATGTTTACATAGAATTTAGTTATCATTTTGTTTTTGTGGGGTTTTTTTTTTTTTACCATTTTAAACAACAAATAACTGCAGTATATGAGTACTGTGCACATAGTCGTTTCTACTTAATAATGAACAGAGTACTTTAGTTCAGAGCTTTTAGATGTAAGTAAAATGTGAATGGTTTTAAAGGTTTTACCTCCTTTTATGGAAAACTGAAACGTTGTTTCCCTGCACTTTGCCATTAAGGTAAGTGGTGGAAATCAAATTGAATATATTAGAAATACCAAGATAACCTCATGAATTTTGAATCACATAGGTACTGGCAAACGGTGCATTTACTGGACTAGCAGTTTGGAGGCCCAGGTTCCTATTCCATCTTGCCTCTTATCTTCTGAATGACTTTTGGGAAATTATTTAATCTCTTTAGCTCTCAGCTTGTTCATCTGTCAAGTGAGGATGTTGGTTGCATTCCAATTACCTCTAATATTCTGTTACTCTATTTTGTTCTCTTGGGGAGCTTAAAGGAAAGAAGTGAAAGCATGCATGTGTGTTTCATTCCTGTGGTCGTCACTTGAGTGTGGTTGGAGCCCTCCGTTTCTTTGATTGTCGCCCTGCCTGCTTTCCAGAAAGGGAAATCGTGGTTCACATCTCACGTTGCTTGGGGTGCAGCCTGGGATTGGCGAGGAGGAAGTCTTGCTGGTAGGTTTTAGCAAGACCTGCTGATGATCACGGCCTTGTTTTTTATGCTCTTTTTTTTCATGCCACTTGTTTTCCCCTTCTGTCAAGTTTTTAGGAAGATAGGAATTTGTTTTTTACAGTAACATTTGAAAACCAGTTGTCTGGTGGGAGAGACAGCTGTGTAAACAGTGTTAGAGTAAAACATTCTCCGTGTTCTAAGAGAAGTCATAATAGAGGGCTTTAAGAACCCAGAGGGAGGAAAGATTACCCATTCAGGGGGAGTTGGACGGCTTTGCAGACGAGGAAGTGAAATCTTTTTTTTTTTTTTCTTTTTTTGCCAGTTTTATTGAGAGATGATTGACATACATCACTGCATAGGTTTAAGGCGTACAGCATGATGGTTTGATTTACGTATATTGTGAAATGATCACCACAATAGTTTCAGCTAACGTCTGTCTTATATAGATACAATAAAAAGAAAAGAAAGAAAAAAGGAAGAGAAATTTTCTCCTTGTGATGAGAACTCTTAGGATTTACTCTAACTTTCCTCTGCTGTCGGCCCTGCGTATCCACAGGTTCGGTATCCACGGATTCAACCAGCCGAGATGGAAAGGCCTGTGATGGTTGCATCTGTGCTGAACATACAGTACAGTACTGTACAGACTTTTTCCTGTCGTTATTCCTGAAACAGTAAATAACTATTTGTGTAGCATTTGCATTGTGTTAGGGATTATAAGACTCTAGAGATGGTTTAAAGTCCACAGGAGGATGTA